GGGAATAGACGCCACTCTAATTGGTTGAATCATAGTCGGGAGTCCGAGTCAGTAGTCAAGTCAGAGTCGAGAGTTTGTAGTCTCATACGGGCTTAAGGGCCTGAGCAGAATGGCTGTCTTGTACTCTTCAGACATAAGACAGTTATTGTGCGTTACCTCAAGACAAAGGCTTAAAACAAAACATTGTCTTAAGGCGGTCTTAAGAGTAGACAGCCATTCTGCTCAGGCCCTAAGAGCCTCAGCAGAAAGATTGTAATCGTTCACGATTCCGTCGTAAGACGTAAGGCGTCGCGATTCAACGCACAGAATTGTAGACGTATGTCGTCTCGTGATGCAATGGATGAGGCATACGTCTACAATTCTTTGTGCATTGACTTGCGACTTAAGTCGACGGAATCGCGAACGGCTAATCTTTCTGCTCGGACTGTATGGCAGTCTTAAGCGTTTATGGATCGTTCTTTGCCGTCAGTTTTACGAAAGAAGCCTGTGTTACAGATCTTTCAGCCCCGGGCAACCATGTGACTATTGCCACACGCACAAAACGCGTCAAATATACTATGAACCGGAGCCCAACTTCTGGATGGTAATGGTACGTGCTCCAGGACGATGCAACGGGCGAGATAAACGTCACTTTTTAATTAGCAGCGAGTTACAAAGTGACTATCAATGCTTTGCAGATTGTCGGCGTGCCGTACATCTACAAGGAAAAGGACGGCAACAAGTATCAGAATGACGAGGTGTCCAGCAACGTTTGCCAGGCTATATTGAAGCAGACGTACATGATGTTCAGATTATTCATGGGCTCCTTCGAAACCATCATTAACGATCCCGAATGCGGCTCCGTGATGTTGCTGAGGCTCAAGTTGGAACATTTTTATTCGCGAGTGAGCAAATGCAAACTAGACGAGTTTGACGCCTCGTATCTTTACTTAACTTTCAACCTGCTTTCAGTACCTGCTCTCGTTAAAGCTGAACAACAGTGACATACTGGATGTCTTTCAAGGTTTACAATTCTTACCCCTTGACAAGATTACGTTCCTCAAGGTGCAATGCTTTATGAATCTTGTAGAAGCTATGTTTATGCAAGTGAAATACACGGCGTTTCTTTACAACGACCAAGTTGTTTGGTAAGTCGAAACGTTCCTTCTTTCTCTAGCACAAGATACATATTTTCGAATATTTTGTACAAGATTTGTGCTTTAGGAGTGGCTTAGAACCCGAGGATATGCAGGTAGTTTATAATTATTTAGTGAGCACTCTCCTACCGGCTCATCTTGAAAAGGAATTGCACGGTGGCTCAATACCCAGAAACTCCCCCTCGCCGTTCACTACTTCGCACTACGGAAAGTAAGGAGGAATACACTTGTCCGCAACGGAAAAGTTACGGTGAAAATACTATTAAAAAACAATCTTTCGGTTTAGGTTCGTCACCGGGCCTGCGAGCGTCAACGAGCCCAGTTTAATTGGAAAGTCGCCAAAAGTTTTCATCAACTACTCTACCAAACCTGTGTCACTGTACCTAGTAGTGTATCGAGCGCTAAGCGCTACAATATGTCTCTTCGTCGATAGTAAGTGGAGCCGATAAGATCCATTACATTGTTTCAGCAACGTGAAAATTAAAAGATATTAACATTTACTCACTTTTCAGAGAAAACTAGTTTGTTAATCGATTTCTTCAAAAGCTTAGACAGTTTTCTGGGACCACAATTAACCACATTAGTTAGCTCCGTAGCTGATCAGTGCTCGAAACATGTAATAGTTACGCCGGAGTCGTGCACGAAGTATCTGTATTTTAATAAGTTAAATTTAGCGTACAAAAGCACGATACACTTAGATAACAGACGTTGCTCTAATGTACTTACCACGCCGGAGGTACTGAGGATCATTACTGATATCTACAACGATAGGAACAGGTATAAAAGTTTCCAAAAATTCATGAAATATGTGCACTATGGAGAATCGCTGTTAACCGATTGACTTTTAGATTGAAAGAAGCCGGAGAAATAATTATAAAGACCATAAGCGATTATTGGGTGATTGGAAAGTTGTCCAACTTGAGAGAGTTTTTCGTCGTCATACAGCAGAAAAGTGCGAGTATTATAGAAATTGATGGTGGGTACAACATATTCTATGAGATTGAACTCACGGTTGCCTGATAATCTTGTCGTTTGTTTCAGACGAAGTGAAGAGGCTTTGCGAGAAGCAGCTAAAAAGTATTTTTTTCCATTGATGAACGTGCAACGAGAGACGAAAATAATGAAATTATAAATGTTACTTCTTATTTTTACGAGTAATCTTTTGCAACAGTTCATCTCGCCAATTATTAACAGGCAATATACATTATGTGAAATAATTGTAGAAAGCGGTGTATTTATACACATGTGATATAAAATGTGAATTTTTTCTCTCTATACATATATACAATACATATATATTTTATATTACTCAATATTCATTACTATTGAAAAACAAAAACTTGTAAATAAGATTAAGTAATGCCACGGTAATAGTCGCGTGTAACAATGACATCCTTGTAATCAGATTATTAAAAAAGAATTGTTGAACAAATTTTGAAGAAAACTTTAATCAGATATTTCTTCTTTTACATGTTTCTGACTAATCACATTGTTGGAGAATTTTTGTAGCTTTGCTACGAAGAAACCGTCCATATTATGTACGTGCGGGTAAAACCGTTTGGTCAGCTTCAGCGAGGGATGAAACCGATGTTGCCTGTAGCTCGTGAAACCGTCGGTTCCAAATTCCAGGCCGGTAGGCAGCAACCTGACGTCGCGCTTTTTAAGGGCGTAATCAATGATCCACTCGTTCTCCTCCGGTAGAATCGAGCAAGTCGAATAAACAATAATACCACCCGCATTCGAGCGCGCGTTAACGCAATCAATCGCAGCTAACAATAATTCTCGCTGCAATGTGCTACAACGTTGAATGTCTACGTCCGCCTTGCTCGCCTTCACGCTGGGATCTTTGGCAACTACTCCTGTACCCGTGCAGGGAGCATCCAACAAGACTCTGTCGAAGCCCTTCATGACCTGGAAATCATTGTCACGTTCATCAATCTCGAAAGCATGATCTTGACCGTGAGTTATAAAGATCAGCGAAAGAAAAATTTCCTTACCGTAGGGAACTTTCGTCCATCGTAGCTGCAGATTACAGAATTGTTAATGCCGAGCCTGTGGAAGTTGCCAACAACAGCCTTCAATCGTTCTTTATTTACGTCATTTGCGAATAGTATTCCGGTGTTTTTCATAATAGCGGCAATGTGCGAGGCCTTGCCGCCCGGCGCAGCGCACATGTCGAGAATTCGTTCATTCTCCTTCGGGTCCAGGGCCATCACGGGCAAGAAGCTGGAGGCACCTTGTATGATATAATGCCCAGCTAGATATTCCGGCGTCGCGCCCATAGGCACCTGTGTGGAATACACTACTAAACCGATCTTCGTCCATTTTCCTATCGGGTCGAGATTGACGCCCCTATTGATGAGGGCCTGAAAATAGATTCGACATTGTACGATTACAAATTACTGCGGACACAAAGGTAGTATCGATTTAGTCTGTGATATAGGTGTAAATCTCTACCTCGGCTAGATCGCGTCGTCGCGTCTTCAAAGTATTCGTGCGGATAGTCATGGGTCTTTGTACCTCGCTCGCTTCTAAAAATTCTAACAGCTCGTCCAGCGGGAATATTTGCATCAACCTTTCCATTAGGAAACCGTTGTAACTGTAATATGTACACAAGTCCCGCCGAAGTAGCTCGGTATATTCGACACGCGGTCTATCTTTCTCCCGCAATCTCTTGAAATCCGACAATACCATAACGACATCGCGTATTCGTTGCTGAATATCTTTTAAGCTAGTAACGTCGGCAAGTTCCTCCTCAGTCGGAAAGGAGAACACACCTTGATGTGCCATCATATCATCCATTTCTTCCTTGGCAAGCTTTCTGTAATTAATATTAGGAAAATCAATTAAAAGAAGAATTAACATAAAAATAGTAATTAAAAAATTCACTCACTCTTCCTCCTCTTTTTTCTTCTTCAATTTCTTATTAGCTTTTTCTATTGGAAGTAAATTATCGTCGTCACTGTCATCACCATCCGTTTCTTCTTCCTCCATTTGCTCGTCTTCAACCGACTCCTCCTCGTCACTGAACGCCATTTCTTCGCTGTCGCTCTCTGTATTATCCTTCATAAACTTTTGTTTTGTTTTCTTCAAGTTTTTCTTTAATTTCGCAGTCGAGAGCAACCGATTGCCATCCTCGCTCGTATTCTCATCCTCTTCGTCCGTTTGCTCACTTTCATATTCTTCAGTTTCATGATCATCCTCACTAAATAACATATCATTATCACCTTCACTTTTTGTATTAGTCTTAGCTTTCATGCTTTTCGTTTGCTTGCTTTGCTTCGCTTTCTTGCCTGGTTTAGTAACTTGATTATTAGAATACATTTCCATGTCTTCATCTTTGCTGTTATCCTCGTCGTCGCTACTTTCTGTAATGCGAGTTTTTACACTCTTCATTTTTTTGCCTTGCCTCGCTTTCTTGCCTAATTTCGCTACTTGATTATTAGAATACATTCCTATTTCTTCGTCTTCGCTAGCATCATCCTTATCGCTATCGCTTCCTATAATGTCTGTAGTTTTCATACTTTTTACTTTTTTACTTTGCTTTGTTTTCTTGCCCGGTTTGGATACCTGATTATTAGAATGTATTTCCACCTGATCACCTTTACTGTGACGATTCTTGCCACTATTACTTCCTACTTTCGTGATGATGCCTATTTGTTTCGCCCTATTTTTCTTCTTGCTTTGCTTTTCTTTCGTTTCTAGTCTTGGTCCTACATCAGGCTGGATTTTCATCTCATGTTGGTGGTCGCTGACGAATTTCACCTTTTTCTCTGTCTTCTGTTTCTGCTGCTTTAAAATATCTTCCTTCTGAAGTGAATGAAACAAACGATAATTCATAAAAGTTATAGAAAATAATAATTTATCGTACAAAGAACATACATTTTTTAACTGTACACGTTGCTCTTCCGCGTTGGTTTTCTTTTCGAGCAACTTCTTCGCATTTTCTTTCACCTGTTGATTCTTCGATAGTCTCTTCTTTGCTCTTTGCTTCTGCCGGTGACTCAACTTGTTAGCTTCTTTAACTGCAACACAAATCGATAAATTAGCCGATTGAATCAACTTGATACATCCCACTTCTCAGGGTTGGGAAAGATACTTTACAAAAGTATCTAGTTACAGTTACAGTTTTTTTTTGCTAAAATATACCTAGTTACAGTTACAAATTCTGTAACGTGCTACAGTTACAGTCACTCGAAAAGTAACGAATCGTTACTTTGCAGTTACTTTCTTGCAATAAAAATAGAAATGTCAAATCTGCATTTGAATTGTAAAGCGTCGACAAAGACCTAATGCGATCTGCGGAGGTTCAAAATATATATAAAGTAACTATTAATGTAACTATATGAAATTAGTTAGGTACTAGTTATCGGAAAAATGTAACTGAGTTAAGTTACAATTACAGATTGAGAAAAAGTAACGAAGTTAAGTTAGAGTTACCAAAAGAAAAGTAACCGTAACTTCGTTACAAGTAACATAGAAGTCATAAAGTCGTAGTCGTAAGAATAGTCGACTGCGATCGGTCAATTCTTATGTGTCTGACGAAATTGACCAATCGCAGTCGATTATTCTTACGACTACAACTCTGCGACTCGCATTGTAGACCACGGATTACATGTTACTTCCCCAACCCTGCCACTTCTGAGCTGTAAGGATCCCTGCAATGGGATTCCCCAGTTCGTGTACATTAGATGGATGAAGTCTTCAAACTGTCTTGGTGTCTGGTCATCCTCCTCCTTCTTACGGCCTTGACGATCGCTCTCCATCCATTCTTGACATTATTCATCTAACGTAGACAAGTTGGGAAATCCCCTCGCATGAATCCTTATAGCTAAGAAGTGCGACCCTTACAGCTTGATACAAACGTCAAGAAAAATTCATCCTTTCGTACCCAGAACTCCCTTCGGGAATGTTGGATCGCTCTGCTTCTTCGCCTTCTTACCACGACCGCTGGCGGCTTGGTCTCTATCGAACTTTGCTTTGCGTCCCATTTGGCCTGCAAACCGTTCAATACACGTTCAACTCGCCAATCGTTTGCAACGAAAATCTCGTCAAATTACGTATATAAACGTTAACTACTCCAGCTGGCGCTTAATATTTTTCATACAAAGACACTACAAATCCCGTTATCGCTTAACGTGTAAACAATTTCAGCCTTCTAACCTCCACGTGGCGCCAATAAGGAAGCGTAGTAACTTCGTATAACAGATACCTTAAACTCGAGATAATAATGTCGATTGTGCGACACGAGACCGTTGAAGATCACTTGATAAAACTATTTCAATACCTTTGGCGAATTATTTTATCCAACTACCACGCCGGAAAACTCACCACACGCTCGGCAGCGTGGTCGAAGATCCTAATGGAAGGAGGGGGGAGTGAGTTTCGTTAACGCCTGCACTCACAATCAGTGCACTCTGCGTTTGAGGATCTGGCCATCTGGCCCAGTCATATGGCGACGGGATCGAAAACGAAAGTTGTAATTTATTCATCTATTCGTCCCATTGTGCTTACATACAATTAATACGAAATTACAACCGGCTATTTCGCAGGACCCGCGCAAAGTTGCATCGAGTGGTCAAAATTTAAAAAATATATATTAATATATATTCAAGATTTTACACGCGTGTTTAAATAAAAAATTAGATTCTAGATTTCTATAAAGGTTCGAGAAATCCTTGGAATTTTTGGCAAAAAATGTGGAACGCTTCACGATTTTGCGTGTCATCCTTGCGCAGGGGCCATGCTAATCTTCTCTGTATCGTTCCAATTTTAGTATATGTACTGCCGAAGCAAGTACAAGGGAGTCCTTCTTAATAGCCGTATATATACTACAAGACTTGTCTGAAGCGCTCTCGAGAAACTTAGTCTTGTCGAGTCCCGATGTCACCCGATCGGCGATCTAGCGGACGGCGCGTGAACTACAACGAAACGTTTTGTGTTCACAGACTTCTATGGCTGCGTTCGGGGAGACGCTATTTAGCGCTATGAGCGTGCTCTGTCCTTGTTACTTGCAAAAATTGAACAAGGACAGAGCACGCTCATAGCGCTAAATAGCATCTCCCCGAACGCAGCCTATGTGTAAAGGCCTTCACATTATCGTAGAGTCATGGATTGGGTCGTATCGATGTATAACTGAAACCGATTTTCTGTTTTTGAGGTATTTTCCCACGATATATTCGACATATAATGACACACGACATATAACACTATTCTCTGATTGGTCCGTCGCGGCAATAAATCGCAGTCGTGGTCGTTGTCATAGGAATTGAACCTATTCGAGCGACTACGACTACGACTGCTTTGCGACTGCTCAAGCGACCATCGATACAACTGTACGACCATTGTAGACAGAACCGAGAATCATTGTAACGGAGGCTTTAAGGCAGGATACCACCTTTGACTGCGATTTTGGAGGCGTTTTTCATGAATTTCTTTTGCATACAAAGAGTGTCCAGAAACAAAATCGGTTTTAGTCATTCATTAATGTAACTTTAATCTGTAATTACAAACTGAAAAAGTTACAAATAATCTCTTGTAGGTGGCGCCAAAATACATTCCTTTGGAGGAACACCGTTAGACTGCGTGTCAAATTCCGCTCTGTACGTGACCCCTAGAAAAAAAAACCAAGAATGTTCCTATTAACAATATTTTTTAATGCTGTACGTAGGGATTTTACGAAATTTTGATTTTTAAGAAAATGGCGGTCATTTTAACGAAAAAGTCAATTTTTTAGGGTAAACCTTTTTGTTAAAATGACCGCCATTTTCTTAAAAATCAAAATTTCGTAAAATCCCTACGTACAGCATTAAAAAATATTGTTAATAGGAACATTCTTGGTTTTTTTTTCTAGGGGTCACGTACAGAGCGGAATTTGACACGCAGTCTAACGGTGTTCCTCCAAAGGAATGTATTTTGGCGCCACCTACAAGAGATTATTTTTGAAACTTTTTCAGTTTGTAATTACAGATTAAAGTTACATTAATAAATGACTAAAACCGATTTTGTTTCTGCGCACTCTTTGTATGCAAAAAAAAATTCATGAAAAACTCCAAAATCGCAGTCAAAGGTGGTATCCTGCCTTAAGCCTCCGCTGCAATGATTCTCGGTTCTGTCTACAATGGTCGTAGTCGTAAGAATAATCGACTGCGATTGGTCAATTCTTATCGAGCGACTACGACTACGACCATTGTAGACAGAACCGAGAATCATTGTAGCGGAGGCTTAAGGTGAAATTACTGGATTACTTAGTCCCAGTCTACAATAGATGATTTAAGCCCTAAGCTTTAAGAAATTGGCCAATCACGGTCAAGTATGAGAAGAATGCGCGACTGTGATTAGTCAATTTCTTAAGGCTTAGGGCTTAAATCTCTATTGTAGACTGGGACTTACGCCACAGATTTACGCGAGCCAATCGAATGACCGCGATGCTTCACGAACAGACCAGCGCCGATAACCGTCGGCCCCCGCGATACTACGATGATTGGTCAATTCTTATGTGTCTGACGAAATTGACCAATCGCAGTCGATTATTCTTACGACTGCGTCTCGCATTGTAGACCACGCATTAAGGCTCGTTCACAGTCCATTCTTATGTATTCGACAATCATCCGAAATATCTCTCGAAATATTTCGTAGCCGGTAAAATGATCTGTACTTGCGCGAATCCGCGAACGTGTACGCGAATATCCGTGTATGTGACGCGCGTAAACGTGTAGCCCGCGTATACCTCAACAGGGAAATATTTTGAGAATTATGTGACAAAGTCTGGATAAAACTTGGAACGCTGGAATTATGTGCGTACATATGTCGAACAACATATGCAGAAACGGAGAAACTTTCATCAAATTTTCATAAATATTTGCGCACGTATCACACACACACACACACACACACACACACACACACACACACGGATACGTCACATACACAGGTACACGTGAACGAAGGTACCTTAAATTCGTGCACACGGATTAACGTGTACCCGCGAATCTTGAAAACGCGTATCCAATCGAGGGCTCTAAAATAAGCGCGCACTTAAATGCCAACCTCGGTTGGAAAAGACACTCGACGAAATCGCGGCTCCCCACGCCGGTAGACGGCCATTCCACGGCCATGCTCTTTCCGCATCGCCAAGTGCACACTACAAGAAACGAAGAAGACGTCAACGACAGGATCACGCACGTAATTCCGTGCCGTTCGTACCGCAAGTCGAAGGACAACGCGACGCACGTTCGACTACGGCGCGGCGAGCCGCAGTGACGTCACTGCTCGAGTCGCCGCGCGCCGCAGTGACGTCACTCGAGCCGCCGCGCGCCGCAGCGATCGTCGCTTGTTTGTCTCGAGCCGCCGCGACCGCTACCGCTACCGCGCTCCGAGGTCAAGGAACTTTCCATTCGCCG